TTAATGCTGAAACAGAAGCTCCAATACTTGGGCCACCTGATGCAAAAAGCTGACTCATTGGAAAAGACCCTGATACTGGGAAAGATTGAGGGCAGGAGGAGAAGGGGACGACAGAGGATGAGATGGTTGGATGGCATCACTGACTCAGTGGACATGAGTTTGAGTAAACTCTGGGAGTTGGTGATGGACAGGGAGGCCTGGCGTGCTGCTATTCATGGGGTCGCAAAGAGTCGGACACGACTGAGCGATTGAACTGAACTGAACTGAATGTTTATAGAGCTGAGGAAACTGTAGTAACTATAGTCTGCCACAAGGCGTCACCCAAGCAGAGTTTTCAAGGATGAAAAAGAGTTTATCAATTGCGCAAAAGGAGAAAGACTGCACATAGAAAGATCTAGAAAAGTCAGGAAGAGGTGAATGACCATGCAATTTTCTGCCAGCACCGTGCTGACATTGGAGCACATCATGTGCCCCAGTTTCTGTTGTTTATATCAAAGCGGCCTTTACCCTTGCCAAACACAGCTTGGCTGGTCACGCTGATCCCTCTATCCCAGTTGACATATCACTGTTGCCTGCTACTAATGTCCTAAACACTTCCCAGTCCTCACCAGCGCGCCTGGGATCATCCCCAAGCCCATTATAGAGAGGAAAATAAACAATGCCCTGACCTGGGTGGGACCTCTTTGAGACACAAGCTCTTATGTTGTCTCCCTAAGGTCCACAGCTGGACTAACCCTCAGGTGCCCACTTTGTCACCTGCTCATTGGTATCCACTGCAGGAACCCTTCCCTCCCTGTCTCAGGTCTCCATCCCCAGTGGGGATGTCCTAGGGTCACCCCTTGAGTACTCTATGTATCCTTGAGTCCTCATTTCAGGGTCAGCTTCTGAGGGAGGGAAGACCCCAGAGACATGAAAGACAGCTGTGGGTCCAGGGCTATCGGCTGCTTCGATCTTTATATGGTTTCACATTTGATCACTCTACACAGTAACCCTGATTGGTAGAGATGATCACAGACAGTCCCCGACTTGTGATGGTTTGACTTCAGATTTTTCAACTTCATGAAGAAATCAAACTTTGAATTTTGACCTTTTCCTAGACTAGTGATATGTGGTAAGATGCTCTCTCATGATTCTGGGCAGCTGGCAATGAGCCTCAGCTCCCAGTCAGTCATGTGGTTACAGCGGTAAACAACTGATACATTGACTTTTTTTTAACTTTCAGTAAGTACAGTATTCAATACATTATATAAGGTATTCAACACTATTATCCAATAGGCTTGTGTTTGATGATTTTGCTCAACTGTAGGTTTATGTGAGTGTTCTAAGCACATTTAAGATAGGCTAGGCTAAACTAAGCTACGATGTTTAGTAGGCTAAATGTATTAAATGTATTTTCAATTTATGATATTTTCAACTTACAATGGGTTTATTGGGACATAACCCCATCACAGGGCTTCCCTGGTGGCTCAGAGGTAAAGAACCCACCTGCCAATGAAGGAGACCTGGGTTCAATCCCTGGATTGGGAAGACCCCCTGGAGAAGGAAATGGCAACCCACTCCAATATTCTTGCCTGGGAAATCCTGTGGACAGAGAAGCCTGGTGGGCTACGGCCCATGGGGTAACAAAAGAGTCGGACATGACTCAGCGACTAAACAACAACCACCCTATCACGAATGAAGGGAAATCTGTATTCTTGTTTTTAGCAAGAAGAAAGAGGGAGGAACAAGCCTCAATCACTCAGTCCCTTCATAACAAAACTGACCCCCAGACCGTCTCCCCTCACTAGGTCCTGGAGAGGAGATTCTAGTGCCCTGCCCAGTGGGATGTGGCTGGACAGTTCTCATCCTCTTCTGCCCAGGTCTCTGAGACCTGATGCAGGGGAATCTTTTATTGAGAAGCTGAGCATCAGGGGCTTCCTGAGCCAGCTCTGAAAGGCATCTGGTCTTCTCAGCTGGAAGAGCTTGGCTCTGGGCTCTTGGGAATTCCCTGGTAGTCCAGTGGTTAGGACCTGACGCTTTCACTGCCGGGGTCTGGGTTCAAATCCTGATTCAGAAACTAAGATTCCACAAGTCATGCAACGCTGCCAAACAAAGAAAGGAAAAATCTCTCAGGCCAATGCTGACAGTAAGGAGGCCTGGAAAAGGGTGGTACTGGAGGAGGACACCTATGTCTCATTTATAAACCTGTGTCAAGGCATGTGTGGAAGCCAAAACAGAGAAAGGAACAGTCGATGGTCACCCAGCTGGATCACTCTTGGAAATTTAGACTGCAGATATGCTCACAAGTGTGTGAAAGTACATGCACGGTCACCTAGGCAATGTGAATTATTCAAATAAATGTCAATGTTCAAAGGAATCATAGCTAATACCTGATGCAGTGGGTTGAGAATTGGCCCTGAAAAGATACGTTCTAACATATCTTAGATAACATACATAAGTTCTAGTCCCCATATCTGTGAATATGACCTTATTTGAAATGCATTCTTTGCAGATTTAATCAAGATCTCAAGATGAAATTATCCTGGATTTAGGGTGGGTAGCCTTCCCAGGTGGCACTAGTGGTAAAGAACCCATCTGCCAATGCAGGAAACATAAGAGACACAGGTTGGATTCCCTGGGTCGGGAAGATCCCCTGGAGGAGGACATGGCAACCCACTCCAGTATTCTTGCCTGGAGAATCCCCATGAACAGAGGAGCCTGGTGGGCTACAGTCCATAGGGTGGCAAAGAGTCAGACACAACTGAAGCAACTTAGCATGCACAGCGCGCAATAAGAGAAAGGAGGGTCCTCATTAGAAAAGAAGAGGAAAGAGAAAAGCTATGTGATGACAGAGGCAGAGATTGGAGTGACATGTTTATAACCAAGAACTACAAGCATTGCTGGATTGCTGGGGGAGAAGCTTGGGATGAATTGTCCCTCAGCTCCTTTAGAAGAAACCAATCCTGCCCACATCTTTTGAGTTCAGACTTCTGGATCAAGTTCTGTGGTTTAAAGCCACCCAGTTTGATTGCTCTGTTACGGCAGCCCAAGGGAACTAATACATTTGCCAATTTGTCTTGTTTACCAACTGTCACCCCTCCTAAGCCTTGGGAGGGCCAGGAGTTTTGTCTAGTTTATTCACTTTGTTTCCCAGAGCAGGCCCATAGTAGATGCTCAATAAATATTGCATATCTGTATATATCAAGCAGACACTGTTCTATGTGCTTTCCCATGGCTTACCTCATTTCCTCCTCACTGCAACCTTCTACAGCATTTATTACGTCCATTTTAAAGGGAGGTGAACTGAGGCTCTGAGGGACAAAGCCAAGATTCCAACCTACCAAAAGATGGTGACTGTAGTCATGAAATTAAAAGGCACTTGCTCCTTGGAAGAAAAGCTCTGACGAACCCAGAGAGTGTATTAAAAAACAAGAGACTTCACTTTGCCGACATAAGCCCGTATAGTCTAAGCTATGGTTTTTCCAGTAGTAATGTACAGATGTGAGGATTAAACCATAAAGAAGGCTGAGCGGCTGACCGCCGGAAGAATTGATGCTTTTGAACTGTGGTGCTGGAGAATACTATTTAGAGCCCCTTGGACAGCAAAGAGCTCAAAGCAGTCAATCCTCAACCCTGAGTATTCCTTTGAAGGACTGATACTGAAGCTTCAGCTTCAATACTTTGGCCACCTGATGCGAGGAGCCGACTCACTGGAAAAGACCCTGATGCTGGGGAAGACTGAAGGCAGGCGAAGGGGAAGGACAGAGGATGAGATCGTTGAATGGCATCACCGACTCGATGGACGTGAGTTTGACTAAACTCCAGGAGACAGAGAACGGCAGGGACGCCTGGTGTGCTGCAGTCCATGCGGGTCGCAAAGCGTCCGACTCACTGAGCGATTGAACAACAACAATAATGAGAATCAGAAAAGGGGCGGGAAGGCAGACATTAAGCACATTCCAATAATAACCGAAGAGCCTCCATTTCTCAAGGAAATTGGAAGTAATAACCGACTTTGCCCACAGCGTGGAGCCGATGAGATCCTCAAGCGTCCGACCTGCGCGAGTGCCTTTACCCACAAGGCCTCCTGCTCTGACACATGTTGTTCCGCCCCCTTTTGCAGCACTCACGGCGGCACTTTACGACTCTGGTCCTCATTTCACTGGTGAGAACACGGTCCGGCCCGCCCCCCGGGCTTAGTAGGCCCCGCCTTACTGTGAGTGGATTGGTTGTCCTTCCCACGAGCCCCGCTCTGACTGGCTCGCGTCGCTGCCACTCTATTTCAGCTTAGTGGCGCGCAGCGGCGGCTACCGGCGGGAACGTGAGCGGCGGCGGCGGTGGCGGAAGTGGCCGGGGAGGCCGGTCCCTGCCGACACCATGGTGAGGCGACGGGGGAACCGGCCGCCAAAGGCCTGTGGGGCGGGTGCTGGGGCAGGGGCGATGCAGAGTGAGTGTGTCATTGCGGGATCGCAAGAGTCGGACCGACTTAGCTACTGAACAACAACAAGCCCCTTAGGATGCTAGCCGCACAATCTCCTGTGCCTCGCCTTTTCAGGCTGAAAAACACCTAGAGATGGGTTTGCTTTTCCCAGAGTCACAAAGCATGCAGTTTAGAGGGAGAGGGGGCATTTTGAGCCCAAATGGGCTAACTGTCCTCCCAATTCACAGAAGGAAAAACTGAGACCCTGACAGGAAACCTCTCCAAAGGCATGCTATTCACAAGTTGTGGACAAGTGATAGATCTAAACCAGAGAGTGCATGTACCCCCCAGTGTATGAGAGGGAAACTGTGGCCCCACAATGGAATTGAGAGCTGAGGGCTTCGTGAGAGAGTACCTGGCCTGTCAGCACCCAGGTTGCTCTGAGGGGGTCACTGCACATTTCTCTGAGCCTACCATGAGGGCTCATTAAATTTCTCCTGGTCAGTCAGTGTAAGGCTGGAGAGAAGGGAGCGGGTTCCTCTCTGCTCAAGGGTAGAGTTGGTCTCAGGGAATGAGCAAAACTGGAAAAGTCCATGTGTTAAGCTCTTTGGAGACAGGATTTTTGCTTTTTATTCTCATGGGAGTCCCAGAGCCTAGAGTAGTGCCTGCATGAAGGACAGACTCGTTCAGCTTGTTCCTGCCTTCTGGGGAGTGTTGAGGCCGTGGACAAGGCTTCTTCCCTGTGGTTCCTGCAGGGCCGGAAGTAGAGGTCTGGGTGAAAGAGTGGGTGGTCTGCAACAACTTCCTGAATTGGGAGCCTCAGGATACTGTTAGGTCTAGGCTTGAGGACCAGGCCCCAGGCATTCTGAGAAAGGCCTTTCTTTCCTCAACCTTTTTTCCCTGACTCCAGAGGACCCTGTCTCCCCCAGAACTGAGTGTTCAGCCTTCTCCTATCTCCCTGGCACCTTCACGCATCTTCCATCCCCCACCCGTGGTGCTGTCCCTTCCCCTCGGCTTTCAGGTTCACCAGGATCCTCCCCTGCCCCTCACCTCTGTCTTCAGCACAGTTTGGGGCTGTAGAAGATGGCGAGCTGTGACCAGGCCGTGCGCTGTCCCAGCCCCACCTCTCCCTTACCTAAGCCTCTCCTTTCTGCCGGGCGGAGCAGGAATCCCCCCGCCCCAGGTGCCTCTGGGGGCGGTGTGCGCTGTATTTGTTCAGCAAATATTTACTGAGACCTTCTCGTGTGCCTGACCGGGTGTTCAGTGCCGGACAAAGTCCACACCCTCCGAATTTTCCAGTCTAGCAGGAGGCTTGGCGTTTCCAGTCTAGCCAGGGAGACATAATAAATAAACAAGTTAATTAGAGACTGGCTATGTCCTGTAATAGAAACAGCAGAGGTGACCCAGGTGGAAACCTCCTTTCTTCCCTCGACAGGGTTATAATGAGGGCCTGGCTGAGGGAACAGTCAGCAGCTGGGGGCAGGGCACCCCAGGCAGAGGGAGCCTCGGAACAAAGGTTGCCAGCAGCACCAGGCGTGGTGTGTGAGGCGCAGAGTGGGCCGGTTTGCTGGAGTTGCATCAGGTCTGGCCCTGTGGGCTGCCTAGGGAGCGGGTGCACAGGGGAGGGCTGTGAGCAGGTGCTGGTCCCATCTGTCGCAGCCATCCTCCGAGGGCATACTGCCAGGAACAGCTGCGGAGGCTCTGGGTCCTGCAGGTCTGCGCTGCTGGTAGCTGGGACGGGGTGGCAGCCTGAGAGGGACCAGCTTAGAGGTGCTGTGTGCCATAAAAGGACATCTGTGGGTTCCCTGCTGACAGGCATCAGCCTACTCTCCCCAGCTTTACCAGGACCTTGCTCTGTGGCCCTGGGCAGGTTCCTCCTGCTCTAGCCGCTGGTGTCTCATGTAGAGGCTCCTTGATTGGACTGCTCTGATCCTCCCACCACCTCTCAGAGTCCATCTTCATTCTCGCCTTCCAGGGCTAACCTGGCGAGAGGAGGACCTAGGTGTGCCCTGGTCCAGATTCCCATTATGGACACAAGAGAACAGGCTTGCCCAGGAGGAGTGTGAGGCTTCTCTGCTGTAAATACCGCCTGGGTGTGTGGCTGCTGCGTGCGTGTCTGAGCCTCCCGCTCACGGCACTCGGGCAGCCTTACACAGATGCATTCCAGAGCAGAGGGCAGGTTGGCCACCCACCCGCCCTTCTGGGAACAACCACCTCCTTTCCACGTGGCCCCTTCTTCTTCCTTATCTTGCCCTTCCAGGAAGCCTGTGCAGGAAGTGGGCTTGGGCCTAGCTTCCTGCTGCCTCTGGACCTCCCCCAGGTGGCTTGTAGGGAAGGCCCGTGGGATGTGGAATTCCCCTCCCTCCAAGCCCTTCCACGGGGAGCCTTCCTCTGGAGATTGAGGGCCATTTGTGGCCTACTGACAGAGAGGCTCACAGCCCCCACCACCTGGAGAAACAGCTACTCCCTATTAGATAGAGACTGAGGGTAGGCTGGAACTCCCCAGCAAAGGGATCCTAGAGGTCAGACCAACTTAGAGTTCCCCAGTTACTGGGCCATGATATGGTTTTCCCTGAGGCAATTTCCTGTCTGATGGGGCCCTAGTTCTAGAACTTTCACCTGCCTATGCTGTATAGACTGCCACTGGACCCTGAACCCAAGCACTGCCCCTTGAGTCACCCTTCTGGAGGCCCAGAGACAGGTCCCAGAGTAAGGCTCAAGATTTTGTGTTCCAAAAATGAAAACTGATTTTTTACCCCCCAATGAACACTATATGGTTTTTTTAATGAAAAATTCAGTAATAAAGGAAACAGAACGATCTTGAAAGTTCACCTTATCTGGGTGAGTTTTTAAATCCCATCGTTTATCTGCTGTCCCTTGCAGTAACCGCAGACTTTTTCTGAAATGTTTCTTCCTCTCACATGGTAAATTCCGCTCAAATACCCAGCTCAGATGTGACCTCCTTAGATCAAGAGGCCAGTTGAGCCTGATGGATCACTCTGCCGGGGGACAGTCAGGGCTGCCCCCCAAGGTGTGGGCCCAGCATGAGCTGGCTTCTGACAGATAGCCTTGAGCCAGGCTGCATCTTTCACTGGGTCTCTGGTGCTGGGGCTGGCAAGTTCCTCAGTCTCTAAGCTCATCATCCCCATCTGTAACGTGGGTGCGACGAGAACCGTCTACCATACTGAAAATGAAAGGCTTAGCTAGAGCTGCATGTGCTAACCTGGACGTAGCTCTGAAACAGCAGAGCAAAACACGAACGCAGCAGCAGGACCCGTGCGCCCTGATGCCCTTGATAAACCTGGAGAGCTACACCTGGTCCTGTCAGGCGTGACTACGCACAGCATGAGCTACAGAGAAACGCCCAGGAAGATCAGCCCCAACGCCAGAGGGCAGCTGCTGCTGAGACTGTCGGGAGAGAGCAAACCATTTTATTGAAGGACTTCAGGGGAGGGTCAAAAGGCTGGGAGGACAAAGATATAACGTCCTTCTCCTGGCTCGGATTGCCCCAGCTGCAGAATTACTGAAATGAGGATTTTTCTAGACTTCTGTGCTAAACTGGGAGGCGGGTATGTGACCTGGGGTTGGGCAGAGTTCAGAGACTGTGTTTCTGTTGAGGAATATGCCAGCCCTGCCTAGAGGCCAGGGCTCCACGTTGCTAATGAGCCAGACAAGTCATGCGCTTTTGTTTGCCTTTCAGCTTCCCTTGTCGCTGCTGAAAACGGCTCAGAATCACCCAATGGTGAGTTTGTGCCTCTCTGAAGCGGTGCCTTTCAGCAGGGTCCAGCCTCAGCACAGGAACACGGACACTGGGTAAAGGGTGAGGTGCTTCCAGCCAAGCCCGCCTCCTGCCTGTCCACGGAGCAGCAGCTTGTCCTTTTCTCCCTCCCACACGTCAGGGCCTGTGTCATTTCTGCTCCTGTTCCAAGTCATACATACTTACTAAAGTGTCAAATACTAGAGATTCAGAGGAAATGGAAGCCCCTCTTCATTAATCTTCCCAACAATTTATTCTTCGGCATTTACATGTTTTGACTTTTAATATGTGTGTATAAGCATGAATGAATGTTTAAAATGTGGGTGGGTTCATCTGCTTTTGTTCTTTTGTGATAGAGTGTGATATCTGTCAATATATTCTGTTGTCTTTCCTTTTTTTAATTCAGATATTATTCACACAACCATACAGTTCAACCTTTTCAGGGTGGACAGTTTAGGTACATTCAGCACATTCACAGGGTTGTGCAAGCACCACCTCTGTGTTGTTGCAGAGCAATCCTATCACCCTAAAAGGTGGCCCAGTCCCCAGTAGCAGCCGCCCCCCAGGCCCCTCCCCCAGCACCTGGCAACCGCTCCTCTGCTTTCTGTCTCTGTGGACTTGCCTGTTCTGGACATTTCCCATAAATGGGATCGCACAACATGTGGCCTTTCATGTCTGGCTTCTCACTCAGCATGATGTTTTCAGGGTTTGTCCACATTATAACTTATGTCAGAGCTCCATTCCTTATGGCCAGATGATATTCCGTTGTGTAGATATATCACACTTTATCCATTTGTCCTGGTGGCTTCCCTGATAGTTCAGATGGTAAAGAATCTGCCTGCAGTGTAGGAGACCAGAGTTTGATCCCTGTGTCGGGAAGATCCTCTGGAGAAGGGAATGGCAACCCACTCCAGTATACTTGCGTGGAGACTTCTGTGGACAGAGGAGCCTTGCAGGCTACAGTTCATGGGGTCACAGAGTTGGACATGACTGAGCAACTAACCCACATCCATTTGTTCCCTGAAGACGAACATTTAGGTTGTTTCTGCTTTTTGGCTGCTGAAAGTTTGAGCTGCCGGGAATATTCATGTACATGTTTTTCCGTGGATATATGCCTTCATTTCTCTTGGGCAGATAGCTAAGTTGATTCTTTTTTTTTTTAATTTTTTCAAACTTGAAAGTGATGACTTTCTAAATCGTGTTTTTTAAACCTTAAAGTGGTTGCCAAGGGAAACAGGCAGAGTAGCTGTAAAATGTCTGCAGCACCATGGAAGGCAGAGGGGAGCATGTGATGACTGCGTGGTGGCCATCCGGGGACTCAGCTGAGTTGTCCTACAGGCTTACCAGGGTCTCACCCTCGCTCACGTCACTTGTCACCCACCATCAGGAACTTGAGCAGGAAGCCATGGGCATGGACTGGGCTGCTGCTGGTTCTCATCATGCCAGCACCCGGCATCATGCCAGTGCTCAGGCCTGGCCCACAGAACAGTGCAGAGGTGGTGTCTGGGCAGCCCAGTGCCGCTCAGCCCCAAGAGTTGATTATTTTAAAAAATTCTTATTTTATATTGGAATATAGTTGATCCACAACATTTTGTTAGTTTCAGGTGTACAACAAAGTGATTCAGTTATGTATACACAGGTATCTGTTCTTTTTAAAAATTTTTTCCCATTTAGGTTGTTACATAATATTGAGCAAAGAATTCCCTGTGCTGTAGAGTAGATCCTTGCTCAATTTTTGTTTGTTTGTTTTTGGAGTGTACTTGCTTTACAGCGCTCTGTTAGTTTCTGCTGTACAATGAAGTGAATCAGCTACGTGTGCACTTCCATCTCCTCCCTCTTGGACCTCCGCCCCAGCCCACCCCTCCCCGTCCGTCTGGGTCGTCACAGAGCGCTGAGCTGAGCGCCCTGTGCTAGACTGCAGGGTCCTGGTCACCCGTTTTAAACACAGTTGTGTGCACACGTCAATTCCAAACTCCCTAACTATCCCTCCTCGCCCCCATCCACTCTGGTAACCATAGTTTGTTCTCTGAGTTGATATTTTTTTAAGACAGTCTTTTCCTAACAAAAGCATGTCTTCTGAATGAGGTGCTTTTCCCGAAACACATCAAGACAGGCAAGTAATTCCTGCAATGAAAGACTAGACCACCATAGATCACATGTGTGGCATCAGTGGGCACCTGGCCACCCTGTTACCCTAACCTTACTCATTCTTTTAAAGATGTGTGGGTGTTGTTCATTTCTTCCACCACAGGAAAATAGTTTCATCATAGAAAGTGTACAATGCGAGCAAAGTGTACTGAGAAAGCAGAGCGCATCTCCTGTAAGAAGGGCCGCTGGGGGCCTGGGTACTGTGCGCCGTGCCCACTGGGTCCCAAGAGGAGCCAGGGATGGGTCTGAGCAAGGCTCGATGGTGGCGACCTGCTCCTTGGGGTAGGTCTGCACCTTCCCCGGGGCCTGTGACTGATGTGGGACCCGTTTCTCTCCAGTTGGTAGAGCTTAAAAATGGGGAGACATACAACGGGCACCTGGTGAGCTGTGACAACTGGATGAACATCAACTTGCGTGAGGTGATCTGCACATCCAGGGTGAGTACCCTGTGCCCTCCGCCTGTACCCCCTGTCTGGGGGCCTTCAGGTGGGCCTGGCCTGGTGGGCATCTTGAGTGGAGGCTGTGGGGCCAGGGTTGCACACTGGGACCTGGGATGATTTTCCAGGGCCTTAGCGTTCGCACTTCCAAGTCCGGTCCAAGCCCTCTTCCGGGACGTTTGGGAGGAGTGGGAAGGTCCACACCTCAGCCTCTACTGCAGGTCATCCCGCCAGGGGCGGGGCCCAAGGGACTGGGCTGGATGTGGAGCTGGGCAGAGGGACAAGGCTCCGAGTCTGGTGCCCTGGACTTGGCACCTGTGGATGCTGCCCCGCAGGTACTGAGCCGCTCCTCCTCCCCCCAGCCCCAGCACCACTCCTGACCAGGAAGGACTTGGGCCTAGGGGTGCCTCTGGCTGTAAACCCGTTCTCTACAGGGAGGGAGTGGCCTCCGGGCAGACTCCCTCCCCCCGCCTGCACTGTGTTCTGCTAGTTAGTGCTTCCTTTCCCCTTGGTTCCCATCTCCACCACCTGCCCAGGGTAGCCCCCCATGTTACAGGGAAGAAGCTGCTGGGAGGCCTGGGCTGTCTTGAGCCAAAGACAGGGTACCCTCAGGGCTCGCCCCGCCAGCATTCAGCAGAGCACAGGAGAGCCACTCACGGCCTGTGGGACCTTTCCTGCCCCAGAAGGCAGACGGGGGAGGGGGGCCCACCCCCCTTCCCCCCACCTGCTCAGCTCTGTGACTAAGTTCTTGGGACCGAACTCCAGGTGGCAGGTGGCTGAGGATTTCCGTTGTGGATTTCCATGGCACCGTGGTGCACAGCTGGGCACATGTCCCCTGCACATGGCCAGCAGGTTTCTGTCCACTTTGAGGATGTCGAGCCAATCACTGGGTCTTGGGGCAAGGTCAGTCCCGCCTCCATGGCCAAGCCTGAACACATGGCTCCCCCTGCAGGGTTCCCCTGGGGACCCAGCGGTTGGGAGGAGAAACTGGGTGTGAGGAACCATCTTGTGCAGGCCATCAGGCCTCCTCACCTGTAAACAGGTGACGGCAGTCCATCTTCCCCTTGGGCAGCCGGATGCAGAGACCCCAGGGGCTGAGTGCGCGCAGGAGAGCAAACATCTGGAGGCATGAGCTGCCCCCGTGGAAAGCACATAAGCCTGGTTCCTCCAGGGAGTGCGCTGGGCTGGGCCTGCCCTTGGCTGGGGAAAAGCCTCACACTGAATGGCCGCCCCGGTCCCAGCCCTGAGATTCCACAGAATCATCGTTCTGTCTGGCTGTACTCTGCATCCCCAGGGACTTGGCCGCTCGCCTCCCCTTGCTGGGAAAGGAATGCTCTGAGGCCTCTTGGGGTTCCTGTATGGGTCGGGGTGTGTGTTCCTGGGAAGAGTTGGCCCTCAGACATTCTACTGTCCCTGCCGAGCGCCTCCACTGGGCTGGGCTGAGTGGCTTAGGCACCACTGACGTCATGCAGGAGGACTGGGGGCTTCAAGGGGGCTAGAGGCAAGGCCTGTTGAGGGCTGCAGTTATCCAGACACGAAAAGGCGGGAACAGCGTGTGCAACATGCACACAGAGGGCCAGAATCCCACTGTGTGTGTTCCAGAATGTTCCATCTGGAAGGCACATCGAGTGCCGAGAGGGGGCAGCCAGAGTGGGGCTGGCTCTCAGGCCCTCTGGAGCCACACCGAGAGATCTGGACCTCGTCCTGAGCCAACGGGGCCCTGATTGGGATCTAAGCAGGGAGATGTCTTGGTCTGATTTCTAGGGGTATGGAGGGAGGGGTTGGCTTGGGGCAGCAGGGGTGGGGCGGGAGAAGCAATCTGATGGATGAGGTCCCGGGCTCCGGCCCAAGGGCAGCAGGAGGGTGGGGCGAGGCCTTGTGCTGGTCACAGGGTGTATGGGGGTCGGGGGGAGACAGCATCCTGAAAACTTGAAGGTCGGTGTTGCTCAAGAGTCTACAGCTCTACCAGCCCCCTTGTCTCTCTATTTCCATTAGCTCCCCTGTAAACTGGCATCACCGGGTGCTGTCCCGGCCGGCCCCAGACCTGCCTCCCTACCCCCCTCCTGGCCCTCTTCACCCATCACACAGGGTCTGTGTCCTGCTCACCTGCGTCCCATGCCCAGCTCAGACCCTGCCACGAGACACTTGTGTGAATGAATGAGTCACGGCGTGTGGAGCGGATTCCAGGAGAATTCGGGAAGACTGGGAGCAGAAGGGGGAGGAGCTGGGCTGTGGCAATACCTGGCATGTGAGGCAGCCTCACCCCTCTCCAGGCTTTGGACGGCCTCCCCCACCAGAGGACAGGCTGAGGACAGGCTGCTCACGAGGCCCTGCCCCGCCCACCCTCATGCGTGAAGGGCTGCCAAGGGTCTGGAGAGAGCCTGCTGGAGGCGGCCCCTCCCGTGTCCTGTGCAGAAGGAAGAACCTCATACCCCGCGGGGGCGATGCCAGGTGCAGGGAGCCCGAGAGGATAGATGCTGCCCGGCTGCCTACACTTCCCTCCCCGTGGCCTTGACACGTACCACCTCTCTGGCAGGACGGGGACAAATTCTGGCGGATGCCCGAGTGCTACATCCGTGGCAGCACCATCAAGTACCTGCGCATCCCCGACGAGATCATCGATATGGTCAAGGAGGAGGTGGTGGCCAAGGGCCGTGGCCGCGGTGGCCTGCAGCAGCAGAAGCAGCAGAAGGGCCGCGGGATGGGGGGCGCCGGGCGAGGTAGGCCCTTCTGTCCCCCTTCTTCTCCCCTGGCAGGCAGCCGGGGCCTCCCCGCTGGGGGGTGACCGCCGCACACGGCATCTGGCCTGGCCCGGTGTTGACATTCTCCACTGGTGTTGTCATCTTGCCGAGGGCTTGGCTCTGAGCCCCTCCTCCATGGCACTGGGGGGCCGTGACTCACGGGGCTCTTCTGTGGAAGAGCTGACACTGCTGCTTGCCGCCTGCGTGCCCCATGTCCCCAGCTCCAGGAGCCCGGCTGGGTGCTGGCGGTCAGTGCTATCCACGCGCATCGCCGCAGCACGGACCCCCCCCCTCCCCCCCGCAGTGGCGCTCCGCCCAGCAGGCCAGCCCAGTGCCCACACAGACCTGGGGCTTGAGCCCTGCCTGTTTCTCCGAAGGTGCTCTAGGCGCCTCGCGAGCCTCGATTTGCCGCCTGCAGAGAAGATCCCCGTGGTGCCCAGGCTGGGACCCTTCCTGTTGTGACTCCTTTAGACAAAACCGAGGTCATGCCTTTTGGGTAGATCACCCCGCACCACCCTGAAATCATAAATCTAGCATAAAATTAAATGTGCCTTCAGCTAGAGCCAGAGGCCAGCTGTGGGCCCCACCCTTCCCTGCCTCCCCCACCCGACTTCTGTCCTTGGAGGGACCTGACTTTGTCTCTGCCACCTGGAGAGCCTTATATGCCGGGTCCCGGGAACCCACCTTGGGAGCTTATAGGCAGAGCCAGGAAGGACATAGGAGCCCGCCCTGAGCTGAGGCTCGAGTGACAGTCAGAAAGGAGCCAGAGAGAGGAGGGCCCCCCAGGTGGAAAGAACCCAGGATGGGGGTGAGCAGGGCCCCAGGGGTCCCAGGACCTGCCTCCAGGGCTAGGCTCTCCAGCCAGGGTGCCACCACTGTCCAGTAAACGGCCTGAAGGAGCAGGGAGGACAGGGAAAGCGCCTTGCTTGCACAGGGGCCCCTGCATGACCAGGCTCCCCTTGGCCAAGCTGGGTCTTGCTTCATTAGAGATGAGGCTAGGCAGACCCTGTCAGCACTGGCTCTGTACCCTGCGTGTGTGTGGAGGAAGGGGGCCCTGGAAGGCCAGGCTGGCTCTCTGCGACCTCCTAGGCAGGGGCTGCGCCCACCCTTGTGCTATTCACCTTCCCCAGCAGCAGTGCGGTGTGCTCCACGTGGAAGGTCTTTCGGAAACAGCCCCACCTCTGGCCACAGAGGCCAGAGCTCAGGAGGCTCCCCCGCCCCTTCTCCGGGCTGGACACAGAAAGCCCACCCCGCCCCATTGTCTCTCTCCTGGGCCAGATGTGGGTGGTGCCACAGCAAGGCAGGCTGGGGTGCCCCGGTGCAGCCCCAGCCACACAGCTGAGCACCATTGCTCCACCCCTGGGCTGAGTCCAGGCCTCCTCCTCGCTTGTACTCCCTGCTCCTCCCGGAAACCCTTCTGATTTTGTCCTGATGACCACCCACCCCCAACCTTGGCCCTCAGCCCTCTCTTCCAGGAAGCATCCCCCCCGCCCCCCGGCAAGCCCCAGTGTGACTTGGTGCCAGCCTCTGTCCTCCTTGGCATCCTTCGCACCCCTGGGGAGCTGGTCTGATAACCCTTGTCACACTGAGAACGTTGTGGAGCAGCACCCCTGCCAGCCCCGGTCAGACGCTCCACCTCAGGTTTTCAGCCTGCTCTTCCCATTACAGTCCTGCCCCCACTTTACAGAGGTGGAAGCTGAGGCTCAGAGGGGTTCAGCGACTTGGCTATAGTCTGAAGGTTCCAGTTCCTGGTCCCTGCCCACAGTGCCCCTCCCAGCCCAGCTCTGCTGAAGCTCCCCCCCCCTGTCTCACAGGTGTGTTCGGTGGCCGGGGCCGAGGTGGGATCCCCGGGACTGGCAGAGGTCAGCCAGAAAAGAAGCCAGGCAGACAGGCGGGGAAACAGTGAGCCGCCCCTCCACTCCTGAGACTGAGCTGCCACTCCGAGCATCCGTTCCCACCCCGAGGCTGCATTCCTGCTCTCCAGTTTATGACTGTTCAGAACAAAAAGAAGACGCTGGGGTCAGGGAAGACCCTGCCTGTCATCTTGTGATCCTCCTGTTTTTCTGTTAGCCAGCAGTTCTATGGTTGGAAATGTTATTCTGTGCTTCTGGTTTTCTGAAGCCGCAGCCAACTGGATTCCTGGAAGATTCTGTGTTCAACGCATCTTTAAAGCCCTCACTCTTGTTTTAAGGGTAGGCATTTTCCAAACAGGTTTGTTTTGTATTCTGTGTGGTGAACAGACAGGAGGTTTTTATTTTCAGCTGTTTGCACTGAGATAGACAGCCTAGAGGGTCTCCTGAAACGTGGACCCTGAAACTGCCTTTTCGAAATGAATCCAGGCAAGTGTGTGACTCGGAAGCTGTTCTGGGGGATGATGCTGGGCCCTGTTCCTTCCCTTCTGTCTGTCTTTACAAAAATAAAAACAAATACAACTACGAACTGTGAAATCCGTAATTCCTTTGAACCACTGGGCACATCTAGTAGTGGTGTCCTCGGGAAATCACAGCCCCCACGCAAGAAGTTTCCTTTTGCACCCATGGCCTCTCACCAAAGGGAAGTGTTTCAATAGGACACTGGTTCCCATGACCCTCAGCAGCCTCTTACAAAAGGTGGAAGACAAGATGGGGGTCTGCGCAGCAGGTGACCCCCTTCCCCTCTCTGTGGGGAGGTGGGGGAGGGAAGTCCTAGGCAGGAGCCAGTAGGACACCCACAGTCTGTCCTCACCCTCTGTCCCTGTTTTGCAAGCCCTGTTCACACCAGAGCTCCCTGAGAAGCTGTGACAGGGAGCTGCCTCCAGAAACACATGAGGAAGGTTTTTGTGAACCTTTTACCTCCTCTTACAGTCAGGGCACTTGCCTGTCCACGACTCGGCGATTTGCCTGAGATGCTGAGCCAGCACTTGTGCAAAACGCTTCCGGTGATGTGGTCCTTTGACCAATATTCCTGGACAGCCTGGTGTTTAAGAGGCTGGTTCCTATGGATGTGAAGTCTACTTGGCCGGGAGTTCTACTTGTCACTGATACCGTGTTGAGACCGGTTCTGAAGGGTGACCGGAAGAAAAGATGGTGGTGCCTGTAGAAGTCCACTCAGGTCTGCAAAGTACTGGCCTAGCTATCTCAAAGATTCTCTTAGGATTTCTCAGTCTGATCCTATCTGGAGAGTGCTGTTCCCTGCCAGTACCTCACCATTGCCTCTCTCCCTCTGCACCCCCTACAGGGACCTACTGCTGCCAGAGTCCGTTTTGGCATAGGTTGGGACAGGGGTGCGTCTGAGTACGACCTGGGCCTGGGGAACCCACCTCCCTCAGACGTGGGCGGTGCCAGGCCAGGCTGGTAGGAAGACAAAAAGAATGATGGGGAGGGAGGGCCTGGGTTCACAACTCCCCTCCCCCACAGCCCTGAACACAGAATCCCATCATGGCCTTTGGGGGCCTTGGTTTGGAGTCTGGGTTTCCCACTTGCCAGGGGCGTGATGTCTCTGGTGAGGCTTTGATGAGAGCCGGGCGCTCGCCTCGGGTATCCTGCACGGCTGTGAACGAGAAGCCCTTTAGAAGCCCCGCCCCTTCCTGCTGTTCGCGGTTTGGTTTTCCTCCCTTAGCTCTGGACCAAGAACACTTTCAGACGTTCCCAAGGGCCATTCGCCGCTCAAGGTCTTGGGTCTCCGACGCGCCCCGTCTGCACACAGGGGCACATCCCCGGCGGCGTGCGTAATCGCGGCTTCCTGCCCGCGCCGCCAGCCGCGCCAGCCGCCCCTGACCTTTCCAGCCGGGCAGCCCGGGCTCACGGCCCAGTTCTCTCCGAGCCCGCTGGTGACGTGAGCCGCCTCCCCAGCACTGGCCGATTAGGTGCCAAGGGGCTTCCGGAAGGCTCCGTCCTCCTGAGTTGGGTGTCAGGACAGCCCGGTTTTCCAGTTCTTCTTCCTGGTTGGTTTCAAGAAACCAGCCTCAACGCCCTGAACAAGAAGAGAAACCAAAAGTGCCGGCCTGGTTCCCACAGGTCGGCCTCCTTTCTGCCCTCCTGATGGTCTGTCTCCGGGGTCTGGCACCCCCATCAGCTGACTGCTGCATGACCTGCAGCCTGCGGGCTACCTTAAGTGTAGGTGGTGAAGTGTAGGTGCTTTCCGCGGGCCGACCTTCTCCCTTTGGAGTTTGTTCCAGCTTTCAGGCCAGGGAGGCCCACACACCCAGGTGTGACTCAGCTTGGGGCCAGCCTGGATTGCCCTGTTGCTTCAACCTGGGGCCATGAGTCCATTTCAGGGAGCTGGAGCCAGTGGGCAGCTGTAAGCAGCAGCCCCCCAAGGTAGTGGCGGGCAGGAGGGCGACTCTTGCCTTCCTGTGTCAATCCTGCCTGCACACCCCTCAGCACTGATTCCTCCTCCCCCGGGCCTCACCTGCTGCTCCATCAGCACCTCCCCTGGAAGCTCTGCCCCAGCCTGCTGCCTCCCACTTCCTCCAGGCCGGCTTGACGGCAGGTGTCCTCCCCAGCCATCCAGCTGGGCCCTGGGGTCTGCACGTCCCGGCCCGTGTGTCCCTACCCGCCCATCACTGTCTCCGCGTCCTCTGCCCGCCCTCCGCGGACAAGGCTGCTTGGTCTGCGGGAGGTACGCGAGGTGGTCTGATGTCCGCTCTGACGGTCTCAATGGGGGCAGCTGTTCGCCGTAACGGGAAGAGAGGCCTGGCTGGGGGTGGAGGAACAGGGGTCACAGCTGCATCCCGGGCACTGGAGACTAAGCTGTGAATTAAACAGAGTCCCCCACCGCAGGGACCCTGACCTTCCAGGAGGGTGAGTGGCAACAGACAGGCCAAATGCATAAATTCCAAGAAGAAAAGGAGGGTGGGGAAGAGAGGTGGTCAGGGCAGGCCAGGGGTGACATTTGAGAAAAGGGCTGGAGGGAGGAGAGGCGTCAGTCATACCCCTGGGGGAAGTGTTCCCGACAGGTAGGCAGCCTGTGCAAAGGTCCTGTGCCAGGCGGTGACAGGAGCAGAGAGGGCAGGAAGTGGGGCAGGGGCAGGCTCTGAGTGACAGAGGAAGCCACAGAAGGTTCCAGAACAGACTGAGGCGAGCGTGGAAGCCAAGAGAGCAGGGGAAGCAGTGCTGGGGTGGGGGTGGGGTCAGCCCACGGGAGAGGCCACAGAGGTGGCGGGGGAAGGGGCAGGGGTGCCGTGAGGGCCCAGACTGGGTTGTTCTGCAAGCTCAGGACGCTGGGGTGGGAGTTTTCTGAAGACTAGAAGGGGGACATGGTCAAATCGGTTTCTGAAGGACATGAAGTCTCTGGTCAGGACTTTTCTGGAAGTCTAGTGCTTAAGACTGCCTTCCAATGCATGGGGTGCAGGTTTGATCCCTGGTCAGGGCGCTAAGATTCCACACGCCTCTGGGCCACAAAACCAAAACATAAAACAGAAACAAGACTGTCTAAATTCAATAAAGACTTTAAAAATGGTCCTTATCAAAAGTCTTAAAAAAAAAAAAAAAAGAAGAAGCCTCTGGCCTCAGGCAGTAAACACAAAGCCCCTGAGACTGTGGGGCCTGCTCAGGGCGGGAAGCGAGGACGGACAGACCCCGGGGCTTGGTCCCAGGAACGGCTGAGCAGGGCACAGGCAGCGTCCATGTGCAAACGCAGAGAGCGTGAGCCAGCCACCCCAGGACACATGCTGGGAGATGTAACCCCACGGGGCCTCAGACATACAGCCAGTGCTCCATACTTGCTTTTAAAAAAAGGATTTTTTTTTTCATACTAGGAATTAACTCGTGCCCCCTGCAATGGAAGCGCGGAGTCTTAACCGCTGGACCTCTGGGGAAGTCTCTCATTCCTGCTTGAAAACACAGGAGAAGCGCCTCCCTGAGCACCTGTGGAGTGTCTGAAACCTCACCTTAGGACCCTCTTTATCTCCACAAGCTGTGGGGGCAGCGTGACTGACTGGACAGGGGGGACCCGGGCAGCGGTGCCATGCCACAGGGAGGGGCCAGGCTACTGGCCTCTGTGCCCCGGAGGCCGACACCAGATGCCTGGCCCCAGGTCCGAAAACTGTCACCTTACAGGCCCTGGGTCCTGCCCTGAGTCCCCCCTCCTGGTCTGGGCCCAGCCACCCAGGGATGACTCACCCCCACTCCGCCCCCGCTGGAACCAGGCACCAAAATAGTCACCCAGCTCACTCTTGGGAGTGGCCGTGGAAATATTTCAGGGCTGCATTCAGTGCCTAAAAATACTTGGGGAATACAGGCATGGATCTCTCCTCCCTCAGTCCCTTCTCTGTTCCTTGGAAAACCATCCCTATAAGCACCCCGGGGCCAGTCCCTCCATGCTACACCCCTCCAGCAGGTTATGTCTCCCTGGCCAGCAGGGCTGTGGGAGGTCCCCAAGTGCCCACATCCCTGTCAAGTGTGGTGAGGTGGCCTTGCTTCCTCCCTGTTGCCATGGAGAGACTCCACAAGGTTCCCCAGAACTCTCTGGAAGGGCGAAGCCTTTTCTACAACCCTTAGAAGTCTTGATTCCTGGAGAGGGAGGCCAGGGCGCAGCAACATTGATCAGGGAGATCTTCATTCCTCAGCAGTTTTCCTTCAAACTTAGAAAAAGGATCTTGCTGTTTGTGTTCATGAGGCTGCTGGAAGCAGGCTCCTAGGACAGGGCCCCCGGCTAGATCCACTCCTGTTGCCGCCCCTGCCCACTTGTTTTGGGACCCCTACATAGGTCCTTCTCCCTCCCCCAGGGAGAAGGCTGTCCCCCTCCAATGCACCCAAATATCTTTGATATCATCCTAACCACTCAGTCTCCCGGGCATACCCCATCCTAACCACCAAGCCCCCTGACCTTTTTTGTGGCCCCAGGAAGGTGAGGGGAACAGGAATGATTCGAGTTGGAATGTGGCTTGGCCCACTGGGATCTAATCCGCTTCTTTATCCCCTGAAGCCTCCAGCTAGAGGGAATAGCAGGTGCAAAGGCCCTGGGGAAGGCACATGCTGGGTGTCTTGGAGACACAGCAAGTTGAGCATTATTGCCTAAAGTCCACACTTGATGACTCAGAAGGTAAAGAGTCTGCCTGCAATGCAAGAGACCTAGGTTCAATCCCTTGATTTGGGAAGATCCCCTGGAGAAGGAAATGGCAACCCACTCCAGTATGCTCGCCTGGGACATCCCATGGACAGAGGAGCTTGGCGGGCTATAGTCCACGAGGTTGCAAAAAGTCGGATACGACCAAGCAGCTAACACAGAGAGTTTTTACCTAAAATGCTTTAAAAACAATTGAAGTAACATTCAGTAACATAAAATCAACCTCTTTAAAGTGAGCAATTCAGGGACTTCCCTGGTGGTCCAGTGACTAAGACTCTGGGCTCCCATTACAGAGGGCCAGGGTTCCATCCCTGGTCAGGGGGACTAGATCCCACTTGCCTCAACCAAAGATCCTGCATGCCACATCTAAGACCTGGCACAGCCAAATTAAA